TTAAATCTAGTAACATAAAAGTTAATGGATTTGTTTCTGTGTGTGTTATAAATAATATATTTCACCAAGTCTGTTATCTTGGTTGTAGGTCTTAGTAAATAAAATTAACAACTGAGCCTTGTGCATGCACTAAGATGCACAGCCTAACAGAGAGTCAAAGGAACCATACGTGCCGATGGAAATATAAATGCATTTTTATTTCCCAGTTAACTAATTAAGGCAAAGAGCTTGAGTTTTTCATTAGCAATTACTTTGGGGCTAGAAATTTCTAAACCGTCCTCTCATAAATTTGCAGTTTCTTCTTTTCAGACTGCCTTTATTAAATTTTTAGCGATAACATGTATCTTTCACAGGAAAGAAAAGTAAGTTTTGAATATATTAAAATCAGACAAATCACTTAAATTAACAAGTATCTTTAACTGGTCAATCGTCATTTCCATGCTTTACAAATCAAGGGAAAATTTACCCTTTTGCCTAAGACTAAACTTGTTTCAATTATAAGATAACTACATTTATAAATAATTTACTTTGACTTGGAATACTAAATGTATTCTAATAACATATATCATTCCTCTACTCCCTATTTAAGACATACTGAAACGTGGTTTGTGTTACTGAGGAACTGGATCGCTTCTTTCATTTCATTTTAACTAATTAAATTTAAGTTTCACCACGTGAGGTATGGCTGGCTGTTGTATTGGACAGTGCAGCTCAAACATGATGAACTCTCCTCCCGAAGTTCGGGCTTAGGAGCAGCTCCTAGGACAGGTGGCTTTCCCATCGTGGTAGCCTCACGCACGTGTGCGGTGCAGGAGCTGGTCAGCCTTCTCCCTCTCTGGTCCTAGCCACCTCCATCCTGGCCACCTGGTTTTCATACACCACCTGTCCCTGTTCCTCCACGGCTCCCGCTCCATCTTGCCAAGTGGGAGCCAACCCTGTGGTTCCCAGGGGGGCCCTCCGTGTCCTCCCTTGTGCCATCCCGAGCAGTCTCATCTCATTAGCTCTTTTAGTGTTCCGTTCCCTCTCTGAAAGCCCCAGGCGTGTTATCGTCTCTCCTCATTTAGGTTCTTGTTAGTAATCCAGCTTGGTAAGTCATTTTCTTGTCTCTTTGGGAAAAAAATCTCCGACCAGTCACTGAGCCATTTCGAGTCTGTTTTGAGGATTTTTATCCATTGGAGCCATATTTAGTTATTTTCCTCTTCCGCTACAGGGTTTAGTTTTTGAAAGTTTATGAGAGAGATAATTGATGATGTCTTTTCCCTATTTCTGAGGCAAAATATACAAAATATTGTCGCCACTGCCCCGTAACTGGGACAAGCCGGGCATTTGGAGCGGTGAGTGTGGGCGGGAGTGTTAGGCGACCGTCCTTTTGGCTCATGAGAATAAACATCGTCGGGATGTGAGAGGATGACTTTTCATTTTCCCGAAGTGACCACATTAGGCTTTTAATTCTTACTGTCCACACTGCGCCGGGCCACCGGCCTCCTCCCGACCCACAGTGTGCTTTGAATGGGATGGCCCCGCAGTGCCTCAGGAAACCCGTTTCTGCGTGAACCACTTGAAACAGACTGCAGGTCTCTGGCACGATTTTCAGAGTAAGCTTTTCTAACCGATGATTGGGGTGGCTTTCGTTAGTTAGTGTGAAAAAATTAACTCTTGTAAACAACAACACAATTTCTCTCCACACGGCTTCATATCTTTAAAGACACCTACTTTTTGGAAAACTGTTTTTGTCCATACGAAGAAAATAACACACACACACACACACACACACACAATTAATGTAATTTGCAAGCATAAAAAAGATTCATTTTTGCCATTTAATTACAGCGTCACTCACTTTATTTATGTTTAATTATGCCCAATCGAGCCCAGTGATGTTTGGCAGATATTAACAAGCTCTAGCTCGTACTTTTTCTTTAAAAAGCTCAAACTACAGAATTTTATAAACTGAAAGTCGGGGGTGGAATATGTCTTCGGTGTTGTTTTATGAAAGGAAATTAAAAAGCCGATAGCTAAACGCCAGCCGCATAAATCTAATTTGTCATTTCCATGTGTGTGCCCTCGATTTTCTCCACAAATAACTTCTTCTCTGTCCAAATTGAACTTTTAAAGTTCAAAGAACCAGAGTTAATAACTTATGGGCTGTACAAATAAATAGCGCTGGAGACCTGAGGCCCCGGAATGTGTTTCCTGGACAGCCGGTGGCCGGCGAGAATCCCCTGTGGTCTGAGGGACAGCTCCTCCTCTGAGATGCCGACGGGCCCCGCTTGTGTTTTTGCGAAGTGCTGGATTTGCACAGGGAGAAGAGGGAGAAGGGGATTTGAGGACTGTTTACTTTGAGTCATTCTGCTACTGCAAAGCCACCAAATGTGGCTTAAGAATATTGGGCAGAGTGACAAGGCTACTGCTGCCGCCAGCTCGGGTGGAAGCAGCCCAGCTGGATCCTGCCCTCTCTTGCCTTGGAGCCACAGTAAGGAAGGCTGCTCACAGCCCCCATCCCCCCACGGCCCCCCACCTTCTGTCCCAACCCCACACACACACCAGCCCA